GTGCACAGAAGTCAGGCGTGGTTGGACCACGCCACAGGTTGAGGGATGGAGAGGGAGGGCCCAGCCGAGCGAGGATGAGCCTTATCCAAGTCTGCCAGGCTGCAGGTTTTTTGTTTTCTACGGGCAGTAGGGAGGTGGGGAGTAATGTGATCACAGATGTGCTCCATGAACTTAATTTTGAGTCATTTCATATGGCTCTGTTCCTCCAAGAAGGAAAACCCATCTCTTTCTAGCCTAGGCCCTTTAGCAGTGATCCCTATGGGCCTTGGGTCGTGGAGCCTCTCCTTAGTGTCTACGCAGGAGGATGTAAGTTCCTGGTGGGAAGACGGACAAAGCTGTATCCCTCACAACAAGCAACATGAAGCCTTAGTGGAGGAATGTACCATACAGGCCTACCAGCCGGCATGTTACACACACTTTTACTTTTTTTCAGAACATGCGCGCGCACACACATACACACTATATCTCTATCTGCATCTGTACATGTTTCTCTGTCTAGATCCTCATTTGTCTCTGTATCTGCAACTGTATTTGTGTCCAAGGCCACATGCCTACATGAATATATAGCTACATCAGTAGAGCCACCACTTACCCAGTATCCCAAACATCACTTTAAGAATAGAGAAGCCTTAGTGCCAAAAAAGGTAAAATACAGTTGTCCCTCAGTATCCATGGGGGATTGGTTCCACGGCCCCCACACATACCAAAATCCACAGATGATCAAGTCATTATATAAAATCACATATTATTTAGGCCGGGCGTGGTGGCTCACACCTGTAATCCCAGCACTTTGGGAGGCCAAGGCGGGTGGATCACGAGGTCAGGAGATTGAGACCATCCTGGCTAACACGATGAAATTCCATCTCTACTAAAAATACGAACAGTTAGCCTGGCGTGGTGGCACGTCTGTAGTCCCAGCTACTCGGGAGGCTGAGGCAGGAGGATGGCTTGAACCCAGGAGGAGGAGGTTGCAGTAAGCCAAGATCACGCTGTTGTACTCCATCCTGGGTGACAGAGCAAGACTCTGTCTCAAAGAAAATGAAAAAAATCCAAATAAAATAGCATATTATTTGCATATAACCTACACAATCCTCCCGCAGACTTTAAATTATCTCTAGATTACTGATCATACCTAATACAAGGTGAATGCCATGTATACAGCAGTTTATACTGTCGTATTTATGGAATAATAACAAGAAAATCCTTTTTATACATTTAGTACTGACATAACTATCCTTTTTTTTTTTCCCCAAATATTTTTAACCTACAGATACAGAGAGCTGACAGTAGAGTGAAGGATGAAACCAGCCCCTAGTGGCAAAGCGTGGAGACAGAAAACTTCACAGCAGAGATCATCCTTACTTCCCGCTGCCATCCTACTGGTAGTTTTCTTAATAAAAACATGCCCACTTATAATGCTTGATTTATCTGAACAACAACAACAACAAAATACTTGCAGTATGGTTACAATAAAAACATTAATTTTTCTAAATATGCTTTGTTCTAAAACCGGGGTGTTTTGTATATATCTGTGGGGTTGTTGGGTCAGCTAATAGGGGAGCTGCTTGGTCAATAGCTGCAGAGTTGATCAAGACAGGGTGCTGCCTTTCATGATTCTTCAACACACCCCACTCCCTCAAAGGAGCTGGTACCTAGACAGGCACTCAGGGACTCTGCAAATTGCCCTTGGTCTGTGCTTTAGGGCAGGGGTCCCCAACCTCCGGGCTGTGAGCTGATACTGGTCCATGGCCTCTTAGGAACTGGGCGGCACGGCAGGAGGTGAGCCGCGGGGCAGCAAGCGTTACCTCCCGAGCGCTGCTTCCTGTCCGATCAGCTGCCATATTAGATTCTTTTTTAGGGGGCGGGGAGATGAAGTCTGTTGCCCAGGCTGGAGTGCAGTGGCACAATCTTGGGTCACTGAAACCTCTGCCTTGAGGGTTCAAGCGATTCTCCTGCCTCAGCCTCCCAAGTAGCAGGGATTACAGGCACGTGCCACCATATCTGGCTAATTTTTGTATTTTTAGTAGAGACAGGATTTCACCATGTTGGCCAGGCTGGTCTTGAACTCCTGAGTTCAGGTGATACGCCAGCCTCAGCTTCCCAAAGTGCTAGGATTACAGGTGTGAGCCACGATACCCAGCCAACACATTAGATTCTCATAAGAGTGTGAACCCTATTGTAAACTGCAGGTGCAAGGAATTTAGGTTTCCTGCTTTTTATGAGACTCTAACTAATACTTGATGATCTGAGGTTGAACAGTGTCATCTCAAAACTATACTCCTCTCCCTATCCTGGTATGTGGAAAAATTGTCTTCCATAAAACCAGTCCTGATGCTAAAAAGGATGGGGCCACTGCGTTAGGGAAGCATCAGGAGAGTGATCTGGCAAACAGCATGCCTAGAGCACCGGTTCTTTTTTTTTTTTTTTTTTTTTGAGACGGAGTTTCGCTCTTGTTACCCAGGCTGGAGTGCAATGGCGCGATCTCAGCTCACCGAAACCTCCACCTCCTGGGTTCAGGCAATTCTCCTGCCTCAGCCTCCTGAGTAGCTGGGATTACGGGCACGCACCACCATGCCCAGCTAATTGTTTGTATTTTTAGTAGAGACGGGGTTTCACCATGTTGACCAGGATGGTCTCGATCTCTTGACCTCGTGACCCACCCGCCTCGGCCTCCCAAAGTGCTGGGATTACAGGCTCGCGCCACCGGAGCACCGGTTCTTACAGAGCATCCTAGATGGGCAGTAGCAGCACCACCTGGACCTTGTCAGAAATGCAGCTTCTCAGGCCCCACTCAGACCCACAGAATCAGAAGCTCCAGGCATAGGGCCTAGCTCTCTGGGTTTTAACAAGCCCTTCAGATGATCCTAGTGGGGCAAGCCGACGTTTGAGGACCACTGGCCTAGAGTCCTGGGCGTTGGGCTGAGTCAGAAGCCCTCATTGTCATACTGGACTTGGCACTCTCAGGCTCTGTGATGTTGGGCAAATCTGGCCCTCTCCCCCAGCCCAAGTCCTTAAGTGAATTTGGTCAGCTTGGTCCTGATTGAGATTGAGGGGTGGGCCATGGTCCCTAAGATCTTTCTCAGCTCAGAGAGCCCATGATCTCTCCACCTGCCTGTTGGGAGTAGGGCCTTGCCCTTGAAGCAGGGAATGTGCCCTCCTTCTTTAGAGGGAAATTCTCTCACTCTGCAGCAGTCTGGTGGCAGGACTGTAGAAATTAGGTTCCCGTCAGACTCCCTTGAGTGTCCTGCTCTAGGCGGAGGCCCAGCCTGAGCCGCGCTATCCTGCCTTCACCCAGGCTCTCTGTAGCCTGAGAAGGACGGGGGAATCTTGGCTCAGACCTGGGTCTGTTTGCCTTCTGTCTGCTGAGTGCCCTGAGAGGCTGCTTACGTTGCCACTTTCTGCGGGTCCAAGCTCCAAAAATCTGTGAGACCCAGGTCCCAAGTGGAGGCAGAGACTATAGGGCACCAAATCTGTCCTGGCCCACCATATGGGGAAGAGCTTCTGTCCATCTTGTTCAGTTGGGGACTATGGCTCCTCCATGTGGGATGTCTAAGGACAGTGAGGCTGGGCCCTGAGGATGCATCGGGGCTGACCCTGCACAGCGGGAGCCATGAGCTCCCTCTCTTGAGTCCAAGACCAGTAGGCTTTCTGTAGGGGCTGGATCCAGGCTCCAGGTCTTAGACCCTCCAACACAGGCCTTAGATGGCAAAGGGACACTCTTAAGGGCACATGCATAGTTTTGAGCCCCAAGGAAACCAGGCAGTAGACCTCAGAATCACCAATGTCCACCTTCTTCTGAGCCCCATTCCATGGGATTCTGTGTGGATCAGACTGGGCAGGGGAGGCAGCCTGGTATGCAGTAAAGAACCTGAGCTCTGAACTCAAGACCCTGGGGTCAGGGCTCATGGCTTTGCAGCTAACACCCTGTATGACTAAACAAATCCATCTCCCCTCTGGGCTTCAGTTTTCTCAACTGGCCAATGGAGTCATAATATATTTCTAACTATGAAGCTCAAGGAAATCAGACAGGTGAAAATGCCTTGTTAAAACTGAGATAGGGCCAGGTGCAATGGCTCACGCCTGTAATCCTAGCATTTTGGGAGGCTGAGGCAGGCATATCACCCGAGGTCAGAAGTTTGAGACCAGCCTGGCCAACATGGTGAAACTTGTCTCCACTAAAAATACAAAAATTAGCTGGGCATGGTAGTGCATGCCTGTAATCCCAGCCACTCAGGAGGCTGAGGCAGGAGAACTGCTTGAACCCAGGAGACAGAGATTGCAGAAAGCTGAGTTCACGCCATTGCACTTCAGCCTGAATGACAGAGGGAGACTCTGTCTCAAAACAAAGCTCAAGTAGGATGTCCTGAGTTTTCCATGGGTGCTGAAATTCAAGAGCCTGGCCTTGGGCTTTCATTCCTGCTTCAGTTTCCATGGCTATCAAATGGGCTGACCTCCTAAGGGTGGCGGGGGAAAGAGTGATGGGAAGGGGGCCAGGCACACTATGAGCACTTGATTGATATGTGCTGTATCAGTCATCCATTGTTACATAATGATTGCCCTAAAAGTTAGCAACTTAAAACAACAGGTATTTATGATATCACAGTTTTCTGGTGTTGGAAATAAATTTTCAGTGCCATAAAAGAAATAGCACTCAAACATAAATTTTCTCAGCAAGGCAATTTATGTCTACAGAAGGGTATGTCTCATGGTTGGAGCAATGGTGAGAGCACACTTGAACAAGAGAGGGGAAGGGGTTCTTATCCTTGAGGTAGATAGCCCCTATCCCTACTGCTCTGTCATTCCCCTATTGGCTAGGGTTGGACTGCACAGTCTAAGCTAATTCTGATTGGCTGTTTTTGTTTGGAAAACTCTGTCCCTGTCGTGAAAGCCCTCCCCCTCCCACACAAAGGGACTCCCTTATCTTTCACTCTACATACCGTCCTGGCCTTCCCACCCGGCCACAGCCACCTCCTGCCCGGCAACCGGCTGACCAATCACCACCCGCCTCATCAGCTCTCCCCAACTTCCTGCCTCCCGGCTTCCCGCCTCCCAGTTTCCTGCCACCCAGCTTCCCGCCCAGCGGTTTAAACTGACCAACTGTTGCCCGCCACCTCGGCTCTCTCGGCTTCCCCACTCCCTCAGCCCTTCAGTCCCCTATAAAAGAACTCTGCTCCTCTGAGCGGCGCGGCCATTTTCCTGTTCTTCCTGGCTGGTCCGCCCGGAGGCTCTTTCCTCTCAATAAAGCCTGAACTTAAGACTTTCTTCTAACCTGCAGCCCGGTTTTTTTCTGAACGAGCTCTGTCTTCCCGTAGAGGGTAGGTCGGACAAGTGGTACCGAAACCCAGGAGTTGGGGCCGCTGGCCCAGCCACGGCCCCCTCCCCCGACCTACCCAACATTGGCCCTGCCACCTCTACGCTCTGATTAAGGTAAGCCAAGCTTTTTCTTGCTTTACCTTCCCCCGCTTCCCTTCTCCTCCTCCTACGGCACGGTGCAGTTGCTCCCCTCCGGCGTTCCGCACAGACTCCTCACCTAGTCTCGGCTGAGCCGAGGAAGTCCTCCGTTCCGGCTCCAGGAGCCTTCCGAGGGGTAGCTGCCAGACGGGGGACGCCCCTCTGACCGCTTCCCTAACCGTACTTAACTGTACTCCGGGGAATTTGCAACGAAAGGGGACGCCTTTTCTTTGCATCTACCCAACCGCGCCGGAGGGTCTGTAGCTATGCCCGCCATGGGAAATTTGGAGTCCAAAATACCTTCTAGCACCCCCCTTGGGTGCTTGCTGCGAAATTTTACCAAATTGGGATACTCCCAAACCCTCAGAAAGAAAAAGCTTGTCTTCCTGTCCCAGGTGGCTTGGCCCCAATACAAACTCAGTAACCAGTCACATTGGCCCCCGACTGGCACTTTCGATTTCAACACCCTCTGAGATCTCGACAATTTTTGTCGCCACACAGGCAAAGACAATGAAATTCCTTACGTTCAGGCTTTTTGGGACCTCCGTACCCACCCTGACTTATGTTCTTCCTGCTCCACTTACCAAATCCTCTTAGCTCGTACCCCTCGTAAATCTTCCTCCACTACCTCTCCCCCTCCCTACTCCTCATCGGAAGATCTGCCTGAACATCTGTCCCCTCCTGCCAACCTTGGCAACCAGTCGCCATCAACAGCACACCCTTCCCCCACTCCCTCTGCACCTCCTACCTCAGAGGCCATGCCTCGCCCTTCCTCCACTCCCTCTGGGCCCCCTCCCTCGGAGGCCGCACTTCCTCTTGCCTCCCAGGTGGCAGCCCACACCCGCTCTCACCAACCAACTATCCTGGCCCCACTCCGAGAAGTAGCAGGCACTGAAGGCTTAGTCAGGGTCCATGTTCCTTTCTCACTCCAAGACCTGTCCCAAATTGAGAAACGGTTAGGATCCTTCTCAGCCGACCCGTCCACCTATATTAAGGAATTCCAATACCTCACTGAAGCCTACAGCCTCACTTGGCATGATATCCGTGTTATCTGTACCTCCACCCTCACTGCAGAAGAGCACGAGCGCATCCTAGCGGCAGCCAGACACCAAGCAGATAAAGATCATGCTATAGATAACCAGATCCCCCTAGGCCCCAAAGTAATCCCAAGTGAAGACCCCCAATGGGACTATCAGGCTAGTCGAGGGTCTGATATACCCAAGAGAGACCGCATGATTAGATACCTCCTCAGGGGAATGGATACTGTATCTAACAAAGTTGTAAACTATGATAAACTAAGAGAAGTCACCCAACTACCCGATGAAAACCCTGCCCTGTTTCTCACCCATCTTCAAGACGCCCTTACCTGCTTTACTCGCCTAGACCCAGCCTCACAAAACTGGGCGACTGTCCTAGCATCTCATTTCATATCTCAGTCCGCCCCTGATATCTGGAAAAAACTGAAGAAGGTAGGAGATGGCCCCAAAACCCCTATACAGGACTTGGTAAAAATGGCCTTTAAAGTATTCAATGCCAGGGAAGATGCGGCTGAGGCTGCCCGCCAAACTCGCATGAAGCAGAAAGTCGCTCTACAGACCCAAGCCCTAGTAGCAGCCCTTCGGCCGGCAGAAATAACAAGGGTAAAGCAAATACCCGCACCCCTCCCGGGGCGTGTTTCAAATGTGGAAAAGAAGGGCACTGGTGAAAAGCCTGCCCCCAGCCACCCCTATTTGTCAGCTCATGGGACACTGGAAGTCGGATTGCCCTAACTCACCTCAGGCCTCAGTTCCTCAAAACTCTGGCACGAGGGGGCAGCAGGGTAACATCCCCCGGAGCCAGGCTTCTGCCTCAGCTGGTCAGGAGCCAGGCATTCAGGAATCTCCAATCCCAAAGCTGTTAGGGTTCAGGGATGATTAACAGGGCCCTGGCTCCTCAACCTCAGTTACCCTTGCTGAGCCCAGGGTCATGCTCCAGGTAGCGGGTGAGAGCGTACACGGGGGCTACCTACTCCGTTCTTCCCTCCTTTTCAGGCAAATCCACCCCTTCCCAGGTCTCTGTTATAGGAATTGATGGGTCCCCCTCCACTCCTCACCAAACTCCACCCTTAACCTGTCTGTTTGGCCCTTCCATTTTTACCCACTCCTTTCTAGTCATTCCCTCTTGCCCTGTACCTCTCCTAGGGTGAGATATCCTAGTAAAATTGCAAGCTACCATTACTTTTCCACACACAGAAACCTTCCTCTTACCCCTCATCACCAACTCACCTTCCCCCCTTCCTCTGGCCGAACTCCTCCCTGACGTAAATCCCAAAGTATGGGATACTGATACCCCCACTGTAGCCTCACACCACCAACCCATACTCATACACCTAAAAGACCCCACAGCCTTCCCTTCTCGCCCTCAGTTTCCTATCTCCAAAGTTCACCGCCTCGGCCTCCTACCTATCATAAATAAACTGAAAGCTCAAGGACTACTCATTCCTGCAAACTCCCCCTGCAACACTCCCATTCTGCCTGTGAAAAAGCCCTCAGGTCAGTACCGCCTGGTTCAAGACCTCCACCTTATCAATGCAGCAGTCATTCCGGTCCATCCTGTAGTCCCCAACCCCTATACCATCCTCTCACATATCCCACTTTTCAGTCCTAGATCTTAGGGATGCTTTTTCTCTATCCCGCTACACCCCGACTCCTACTTCCTCTTTGCTTTTACCTGGAAAGATCCTGTCACCAATCTGTCTCAACAGTTAACGTGGATGGTCCTCCCTCAAGGCTTCCGGGACAGCCCCCACCTGTTCAGCCAGGCCCTGGTGACAGACCTGCAGCAATGTAACATCTCCCCTTCTTCCTTACTCCAGCTGGATCAAAGCTTTCCCCACAGCTTATAAAACCGCAGGAGTTGTAGCCGAGCACCTCATCCGGGACATCATTCCCCGATTCGGCCTTCCTTCTACCATCCAGTCAGACAACGGACTTGCCTTTATTTCTAAGATCACCACTGCCGTTTCCACATCCTTAGGGATTCAGTGGAAACTGCATGCAGCCTACCATCCCCAGTCCTCAGGTAAAGTAGAACAGGCCAACGGCCTCATCAAAGAACACCTAACAAAACTTGCCCTCGAACTCCGCCAGTCCTAGGTTACCCTACTTCCTATTGCTTTGACAAGGCTTCGAGCAAGCCCCCAGGGCCCCTCACAACTCAGCCCTTTTGAGCTGCTATACGGACGGCCCTTCTTACTCTCCTCCCCCCTACCACCAGACCCCCCTCCTCTATCTACCTACCTGCCCTATTTCACCCTCCTCCGAGCTCTTCTCCAAGAACACACTGATATCTCCCGTCCCCAGCCTGATTCCTCCCCTAACCAAATACAGAAAGTTTCCCCAGGAGACCTGGTCCTTATAGAGTCACTCTCTCCAAAGCCACTAACTCCCAGGTGGGAAGGGCCATACACAGTCATCCTCACCACCCCCTCAGCAGTAAGAGTCGCCGAAATCTCCTTGTGGGTGCACCTAACCAGAGTAAAGAGAACATCTCATGGGCCTCCCAAATCCTCCTAGAATGTTACCTCTACTGGTCCTCTATCTCTTAAGCTTACCAGAACCCCACAACACCTCCAGTAACCCTCCTTCTTTTATATGGAGATTCTACCTAACTGAAAATTACACCAAAACCACACACATTTGCAACACCCCTCCCTACAGCCACAACCACCTCCTCTCCACTTATGACTGCCCCCCTACAGGGTGCAACTCACCCATCTTTCTAAACTTCACTGATTTCAAAAACATACCCCGAAATGACTTTTGGGGTCATAATCCTGTCCTCTGTTTTCTCTATGATCAAAAAGGCCCCTGCAAAATGTCATCTCACCTAAATTGCATAAGATGCACCTGGACGAGTTGCGCCGCCCCCCCAGCACTCCATAGCGCCGATTACTCCGACTCCAAGCTGGAATACCACATTTTCAGCCGTCCTCCCTATCACTCTGTCCAAATCCCTGACCCTTCAAACTCCCGCTGGACCACACTCCAAAAAGCAGCTGTATACGACACCATAAATACCGGGTACCCCTCCTCCCACCTCTATATCTGGAGAGCTTTGGTAGCTCTACCCGCTACCCTTAAAGAAGTTCACTCCTCCATTCACACCCAGGAACAAACGCTGACCCAACAACTTCAGCCATCCTCTCAACCTTTCTCATGGCTAACCCTCCTCAATGAAGGCCTAAAAATCACTAACCAGCTTGCCAACCGAACGAGTCTACCAAAGCTATCTTCATGCCTCATGTGCGCCACCCCAGGACAAAGCCCTTTAGTCGCAGTCCCATCTAACACTCACGCCAGCTCCTCCAAACCGTCCTCCCGGGCTACCCCCATAGCAGATGTCGAGGTCTACCTGCCCCCAAACCAGCGAACACCAGTCTGCTATGGGAACAGCTCTCCCACCTGCAGCCCCACTATACCCATAACCACCAATCTCACCGCTCCTCATGGAACCTGTTTATGGTGCAACAGAACACTTTTCAAAACCCTCAACCCCTCTACACCCTCCCGCAGCCTATGCCTACCAGTAACCCTCGTACCCCGATTAACCATTTACTCCCCAGCAGAGTTCCAACAACAATTCATACATCATCGTGTACGACGGGCCGCCTTTTTACCCCTCATAGTAGGTCTCTCTCGCCGGATCAGCCATAGGAGCCGGAATAGGGGGAGGAGCCCTAGCCCACTCCCGTCAGGCCCTAGCACGACTAACCTCTCAATTTCAGGCCGCCATCGACAATTCTGCAGAATCTTTAGCCTCTCTCCAAAGACAGATCACCTCAGTGGTACAGGTCGCCCTACAAAATCGCCGGGCGTTAGACCTCCTCACCGCCGAGCGAGGAGGAACCTGCATCTTCCTACAAGAAGAATGCTGCTACTACATCAATGAGTCCGGCCTAGTAGAAACCCGAATTGAGAACCTCCAGAAGTTAACCTGCAGAATCAAAAATTCTCAGCTGAAGCCACAGCACAGTGGTCTTCCTCTGTGTATACCCTCTTGTCCCCGTTGCTTGGGCCCCTGATAGCCGTTTGCCTAATCTTACTTATCGCTCCTTGCTTTCTACAGTTCCTACAGCGGCGCTTTCAGGAACTAACTCGAGTCACCATCCACCAGATGCTGCTCCGACCTTACCCCGAACAGGTGCTGGAAGCGGACCCCTCCCCGAACATCCAGGCTCCTTAGGAAAAGAAACCTCTTCAGAACCCCCCGTAGACCCTTGTCAGCAGGAAGTAGCCAGAGAGACAACCGACGCCCCTGACCCCCTCTCTTCTTTTCTTTAAGGAGTCGGGAATGTTTGGAAAACTCTGTCCCTGTCGTGAAAGCCCTCCCCCTCCCACACAAAGGGACTCCCTTATCTCTCACTCTACATACCGTCCTGGCCTTCCCCCCGGCCGCAGCCACCTCCCGCCCGGCAACCGGCTGACCAATCACCGCCCGCCTCATCAGCTCTCCCCAACTTCCTGCCTCCCGGCTTCCCGCCTCCCAGTTTCCTGCGGCCCAGCTTCCCGCCCAGAGGTTTAAACTGACCAGCTCCCTATAAAAGAACTCTGCTCCTCTGAGCGGCGCGGCCATTTTCCTGTTGTTCCCGGCTGGTCCGCCAGGAGGCTCTTTCCTCTCAATAAAGCCTGAACTTAAGACTTTCTTCTAACCTGCGGCCCGGTTTTTTTCTGAACGAGCTCTGTCTTCCCGTAGAGGGTAGGTCGGACAGTTTTAAAGAGAGGAGGAATATGAGCCAGAGTGGCGGGGTGAGCAATTTCGGTGGGAAAGACAATTATGGATCAGGTGACTAAAGGTGACTCAGGTCAGAGCAGGTGACCAGGGATGACTCAGGATGGAGCAGGTGACCGGGGTACAGATGCAAACTACTCATTAGAGCTGACAGGAAGGTTGTTTATTCAAACTAGTGGCAAGGAGACAGAACGAGGAAGATAAACTTTAAAATGGAGAACAAAGAACAAGGAAATTGAACATACTGACAGACTGCTTCTTAGAAGAGAAACTTAGAACTCACTGTATTTGACACTGGGTCAAGAATCTGGGCATGGGTTTCTAGCTGAGTCCTCTGCCTCATGGTCTCTCTCAGGCTGCAATCAATCTGTAACCAGGTCAACAGTCATCTGATGGCTCATCTGGGGATGGATCCTTTCTAAGCCTACTCGTGGCTGTTGGCAAGATTCTGTTTTTGTGGGTTGCACGCCTGTGGGCCTCAGTTCCTCTCTGGCCTGGCTGGCCTGGCTGGCCTCGCTGGCTGTTGGCTGGAGACTGTTCTCATATCTTTGCCACGTGGACCTCTTCACTGGACAGCTCATGACATGGCAGCTGGCTTCACTCAGAGAGAGCAACAGAGTGCCCAAGATGAAAGCCACGGTCTTTTTGCAACCTAATATCAGAGGCAACGTGCCATCACTTTTGCTGTATTCTATTTGTCAGGAGCCACTCACTAAGCCTAGCCCACACTGGAGGAGAGGGCATTCCACAAAGGCATTAACACCAGGAGGTGGAGACCACTGGGGGCCGCTTTGGAAGCCCCCTAGTACACTCGCCAAGCCTTGCTCTGAGCCAAGCTCAAGCTCTAAGATAGAGTGAACTCTAAATGGAGAGATATGGGGGCAGAGGCCAGAGATATGTGTTTCCTGGTGGGCTTCCCTAGACAGGGCCCCCGGGCCTGCCCACCCTGATCTTTATCACCATGGCAGGGCCTGTTTGATGGCAGGGGGATTTGCAGCCAGCAGGAGCTGCATTCCAGGGCCGAGTACTTAACATTCCAGAGGAGCTCTCGGTAATTAGTGCCCTGCCCATCCCAGGCCTGGACTACCCAGCTCCCTTGCGTTCCCCTGGCTCGGCCAGAGGACTCCCTCGTGGCTTGGGTCACATTGAGAGGCCCAGAGATGGACTGGATGTAAGCAGGATTGCACAGCAATGAGTCTAGTAGCAAAGTAGGGACTGGGGCCCAGGTCCTTTTACCTATAGCTTGTGGGCAGGGGGCAGCTGTGGACAGAACCTTAGGGCCCAGCCCCCTGGGGGTGAGATGCACTAAAGCAAACCTCAGGCAAATAATTGTTTCTCTGAGCCTCTAATTCCTCACCTGGAAAAATGGAGGGGACTGGTTCTAAGATCACATGGCATGTGACAAAGACTCCTTGAGCAAACTTTAGACCTGCTCTTCTGAGCCCTCTGTTTGACTAGGCCTCATCCTTGGACCCTGTCTTCAGTCTGCCTAGCCCAGTTTTAGCAAGAATCATGTGGCGCTGAGTTAACAGGAACCCCTTAGTAACTTCCACCCACTGACAGCATGCCCCCATCCCTCTCAGCTAGCTGCCTGCAAACGCTCAGCTGTCTATGCTGTATTTGGAGTTGAATGTAGTCTCTCTCCTGTTGTGATAGTCTTGACACCTACCACAATAGTCCTAAATAAAGTCTTCCTTAAGGGAAAAGCCAGCGGGGGCCCTGGGGATGGGGGATGTGCTGACTCACACCAGGAATACCAGCATTTAGGAGGCCAAGATGGGAAGACCACTTGAGGCCATGAGTTCAAGACCAGCTGGGGCAATGCAGCAACACCCTCATCTCTCTTAGAAAAAAAAGTTTTTAAGCCAGGCATGGTGGCTCACACCTGTAATCCCAGCACTTTGGGAGGCTCAAGCGGGTGGATCACCTGAGGTCAGGAGTTCGAGACCATCCTGGCCAACCTGGTGAAACCCCATCTCTACTAAAAATACAAAAATTATCTGGGTATTGTGGCAGGCACCTGTAATCCCAGCAACTCAGGAGGCTGAGGCAGGAGACTCACTTGAACCCGGGAGGCGGAGGTTGCAATGAGCTGAGATCGCGCCATTGCACTCCAGCCTGGGCGACAGAGCGAGACTCTATCTCAAAAAAGAGAAAAAAAATTTTTTTAATGAGCCAGGTGTGCTGTTGTATGCCTATAGTCTCAACTACTTGGGAGGCTGAGGTGGGAGGATCACTTAAGCCCAGGATTTCAAGGCTGCAGTGAGCCGTGATCTCACTACTATACTCCAGCCTAAGCAACAGAGCAAGACCCTGTCTCTTTTTAAAACAGAGAGAGAGAGAGAGAGAGAAAGGCCAGTGGGGCCAGAAGTCTCTGGATGTCCTTCTTGTCTTCTCTGCTCTCATAGTTGGGCTTACTACTCAGCCCCTGTGGCCTTTGGAGCAAATGCTCAGTGGCCCTTGATTATACAACTGGTTCTTTGGAGACTTTTTCTTTTTGAAATGGAGTCTCACTCTGTCACCCAGGCTGGAGTGCAGTGGTACAATCTTGGCTCACTGAAACCTCTGCCTCCTGGGTTCAAGCAACTCTCCTGCTTCAGCCTCCCGAGTAGCTGGGATTACAGGTATGCACCACTGTGCCCGGCTTAGTTCTTGTATTTTTAGTAGAGACGGGGTTTCACCATGTTGGTCAGGCTGGTCTCGAACTCCCAACCTTGTGATCCACCCACCTTGGCCTCCCAAAGTGCTGGGATTACAGGCATGAGCCACCATGCCCGGCCTCTTTGGAGACATTTTTATTTAAACCTTCACTACTGTGCCCCAGGGCTGAGCCAGGTGCCTCTCATTCCGAGCTTGAGTGAGCCTCGCAAGCAACAGGAAATGTCAAACTCTCAGAGGAGAGACAACTCGAACCAGGCCACACCTCACCATCACCCAGGTCTATCTATCTTGCTGGGCTAGGCTGCAGGCTCTGTGAGGCACAGACCCTGGTTTCTGTCCTTAAGAAGAGTCTAAGGTCACTGGGAGGCCAGCAGAGTCATTGGCGTAGGGGTCACCCCACAAAGAACCCTGACAGAGACATTCGTAGCAACTTTAAATGAAGTCATTTAGAACTTCACAGACCTGCATTTAGGATTGGACAAAGGAGAAGACACAGATGAAACCCACACCCATCACAGGACTGCACTGCCTGCCGGGGGTTCAGCATGAATTCAGACATTTTGAAATCCTGTGATCACTATGTGAATAACACAGTTATTTTCAGTTCTATTTTGGAGGATTAAGAGCATTCATTTGTTCAAGATAAACATTTACAATCTATACAGAGATCAGGAAAAAATATCACTCTAAAAGGATATTATTGGGACTGTTGGCCAAATTTGAATATGAACCATCAGGAGTTGGCAAGCTACGGCCCTCAGGACAAATCTGGCCTGGCCGGCTGCCTGTTTTCATAAATAAAGTTTTATTGGAACACATCCATGCCCGTTCCATTTCACTTTATCTATGGCTGCTTTTGCACAGTGGGGCAGAGTTGAGCAGTTGCAATTGGGACCATATGGCCCGCAAAACTGAAAATATCCGTCTCTTTATAGAAGATGTTTGCTGACTCCTAGATGAGATAATAGCAATGTATCATTGTGAAATTCCCTGATTTTGATAACTGTACTGTTGTTATAAATTTTAAAAAATCCTAGTTCTTAGGAAATACCCGCTGAGGCATTTAGGGATAAAGGAACATGTCATCTTCAACTTACTGTCCTCTCATGCAGAAAAAAAATGTGGATGCATTATGCATGTGCAGATCTAAAGAGAGAGGGGATATGATAAAACGTGGGGGGAGAAACTATTTGGGGATCTGAGTGAAAGCTACACAACAGCACCCTACAATCACAGTACATTTTCTATAGGTTTGAAATTATTCTAAAATGAAAAAATTTTAAATACACACATTGACATTTTGCATACTGTTTTGACCTTTCTTCCTTAAGATATAGGGAATCTAAAAAGAAAAAATAGTCCCCTGGGGCTCCTGTTGACTCCCCAGCCCTGCCCCTCACCACACACACACACACACACACACACACACACATACACAAATACCTTAACACATACACTCCCTGTACCCACCCACATACTCACACTATACATTAACACACACACCCCATACCTACCCCCATACACATATACACACATGCTATACATTAACACACATGCACCCTGTACCCACCCACACACTCGCACACACTGTACCCACTCCACACACACATATACACACACACAATACATTGACAAACACAAACCCTGTACACACACACTATACATTAACATACACACCCTATACCTGCCCACACACTCATACACTATACATCAACACACACACCCCCTGTATCCACCCCACCACACACATGGACACACACACACACACACAAATACATTAATACACAAACATCTGAACCCTCCACACTATACATTAACACACACATAATACATTGACACACCCCCACTTTGTACCCCTCACACACTATACATTAACACTCACACCCCCTGTACACACACACACACACACACGCACACTCTCTCTATAGATATATACATATACACACACACCCTGTACCCACCTACACACTCGCACATGTACATACCTTACTCACACACACACCCACCTGGTCACACACACGGACACACATGAACTCAGGCATGTCAGTGTCCCAGCAGACAGGTGTACAGCCCTCCTGCTGCAGAGGAGGAAGGGGAGGACTGCAGATCGAGGGAGCGAGATGGCCAAAGGGAGTCCTCTGATGGGAGCCAGGCGTGCTCCAGGGAAGAGGCAGGAATCATGTTAAAACTTGTAAACTCAACCATTGAAAATGGTGAAAATAAAAAGGCAGAGCACTTCCAGTGAAGGTACAAGCCCAGCAAAGGGGTGGCAGCAGGTGATACAAG